CATGGTAAGAATCTTAGGCCCCTGATAGCCATGGATGATCTTCATTTCACATATTAAGTGGATGGTTATACTGATTTTTTGATGAGAAATAAATTGATTCTCAAGCTAACAGTATACTTTGTAATTCTTAGTTACCAGTCAACATTAAGAACTATTAAATTATCAGCCTTATATAGTCAAAGTTGAGTAAATTTTCATATAAGCTCTGCTAAAAGACCGATACATAAAAACATCTGTCTTAATAAGATGCCTTAGCATCTTTTTAAATAGTAAGGTCCACAACTGCATTTGACTGCACCTTTGATCTAAGGTTCCTTTAAGAACAAATGTCTAAGAATGTTATTGGACTGAAAGTTAATCTGATTTGGTTTCTAAATCTTTTATTTTATATTATCTTATTTTTTGCTTTTAGGTTAGTTTTCCCTAGCTACATTGAAAATAATAATTTTCAATATTACCATTGAAAATAATAATTCCAGATACCAATAACAAAATATTCATTTGTTGTTTACCTATTAGATCACAGAAATTGGGGCCAGACACTAAAGAAAATAAAACAATAAAAATTTGAAGAGAACAATTACAATTTGGCATGAAATATCCTATTTTCTTCATCCACACAAACTTCTATTCCCATTTTGTTGGGAGGAACAGAAACAGAGAGTTTATGTAAGTCTTCCCAGCTGATAGTGTGATCCAGAATTGTGGTCTAGAATTTCCAGCTTCAGATCCTATGCTGTTCTTCAGTCATACCACACACCACATAAACACTCTGATATATCTTAATAAAACATGAAAATTCAGGCTAGATAATTAGACTAATTGTCTGCATACATTTTTCTTCATGTTTCCAATATGCGTTATTCCAAAAGCTTGGAAACATTTCAGGGATCCTGTTTCCTATCCATTCATCTTATTTATGACAGATCTGAAAGAATAAGGCATTCCAGAAAGCTGCTTAGACAAGGAGTTATTTATTGACAGGAAAATGAAATCAGACAAAAGCATTGAGATAAGAAGCCACAACAAGTTCATTTATAGTTTCTTAATCTATACATAACCATAAATGGTTATGTATAGAATGAAAGGATTATTCACCATTTTTCCATCTTTCCTCCCATATCATCAGTGCTTGCCTGTTTGCTACTTCTGCTGGATGCAAGATGTGCCCTAATGTTGTGGACTAAAAGGAGTTTTTTTATTCAGAATACCATCTTGTCTGACCACTTTTCTTGTGTTATTTAGTTTAAGCTCCAGGGAATACTAAAATGAAGACTACCTTTCAAAACCTTATGTGTAAGTTTCATGTCCAAGCTTCTTGGGCCACTCAAGCTCTCAGAACAACAAGAAATCTCTAATATAAGAAAGATGGTTAACATTTGAGCCTGTCTTTAATCCAGTGTCGTTTGATTCAAAAGCCTAAACTTCTGGCAAGTATCACACTCTCTTAGAATTTGAAAATTTTCTCCTCTGATGTATGAGCTGCGATTACTTTTACTTTAGGAAAGGAAAATCTACTATAATTGTGCAAGCCTCTTTTTTCTGAGAATGATTTCACTGCATAATTCCTGGCCAAAAATCATTCCTAAAAAGGAAATAATTGAAGTAAAGCAATAATTAATTTAATAAAGAAAGCATTTTACAATCCTAATTAAGGGAGCAGCTTCCAACAGATAGCACACTCTAGAAGAATATGAGTAATTAATATAGATTACTCTCTTTTTCATAAAGAGAGAGAGAGAGAAAGAGGGATGTGGGATACATAGGACACTTGGATTCTGTAATGTTTTATTACACGTTTGTTCATATACAGAAAGTGAATAAAATATGTTGAAAAGTTAACATTTATAAATTCTACACAGTGAGTCCATAAGTGTTTGCTAGGCAACCCTCTGCTTTTCCCATATTTTTAAATTCCATTGGAAAGGAAGGAAGGAAGGGAGTGAGCAAGGGAGGGAGGGAGAGATAAAGGATTCATTGCTATTTTTATTTTTGAAGAGTAAAATGTAAAATAATTGTATTTCAAAGGATCAGTATATTAGTATATTAAAATAAAATGTTGATATTAGTATAATATCAATGATAACATAAATGATAAAATAAAATAAAATAAAATAAAACCAATGTGATTATTTTATAAATGGATAAAAACAAAAACAGTACCTGAAAAAATAAGTGTTTTTTTGAAAGCTTGGAAATATGGTGAACTTTTGTGACTGGTGACTGCCAGTGTAGATCAACAGATTATAGGTTTTATATTTTTTTGTTTCATTTTGTTTTGCTGCCTGTTGCATTCTGTAACTCAGTTGATTATCTGGCCCTTGCTTAGAGATCTTCATAGGAGACTAAGTCACACCTGTGAGCCTGCACCAAGACTGTGTCAAATGAATACTGCTTTATCACATTGGTCAGCAGGAACTTTAATATTTCTCACTTTCCCAATTAAGGTAAAAGCAAATTCTATGCTTGAAATTGGCTTCTAAACATTTGAGAATGATAAAATCAAGAGGACATGTTCAGTGCACATCATCGGAAAAGAAACCCAACCTCTCCCTTCAGGAAGGTGATTATGTCATGTCCTATTAAGTAATCCTCTGGTGGAAAGGCTTTACCTTGAGGACATTTGTAAGCCCTCGTTTCATATCCTCATCAGAATGACCCTTTCCCCACGCAGCTGCCTAACTGCTGACATGTTCTGCATGAGGTACCAAATTGACCATGATGAGGAAATTTATCTTTATATTTCATTTTGAATAATAGATCTTCCTAATAGAGCATATACATAACAACGGGCTGCAATAAGTCTCCATCAGCAATTTTCACTAGATTCAATAAGCATGTTGTTATCTCAAATAACATTTTCAACACACATTTTAAATGATATTCTTTAGGATTATACAAGTAACATTATAAGAATTTTGAAAAACAAAGAAGTATGTGAAGAAATGGAAAGCTACCCATAATCCTGACTCACCTTCTAGTAATACAGTATTTTGATATATGTATATAATTTTATATATTTTTATATTTATACATTCTTATTGTAGGTTTGTCATATACGAACATATGATCTGGGAATTTTGATTGAGCACACACAGGCTTACTGAATATAGTTTATAACCTAGTCTTACCATTGTTATATATATATATATATATATATTTGGGGAAAACCCCTGTTTCTGTTTTTAATTAACATTTTGGTAATCAGATACTGAGTTAAAATTCAGTAATGGCCTGTCAGGAAAACTCCTATGGCAGAATAGAGGTATATGGAAGACAATAGTTACTTTTAATGTCTATGTTAAACATACCATACTATGCATGGATTTCCTCAATAAAATTTTGCAAGGTGCAAAGTTAGAGAATGGTCAAAGTCATGATGACACTAACGATATACTGTACTCTGAGGAACAGGCAGAGCAATATTTATCGAGCACCTACTATGTCAGGCAAAGGGTTGATGTTTTGCACACAATGCCATTCATATTATCTCTAGAGAAAAATGAGGTTTTTTTAAACTTCTAGGTTCATAAGATAGAAAAGATAATAGAACAGGATTAGCATTCCTGCAACCTATGGGAGCAAAAGACAGAGGATGGCTTATACTCAGAAATATTTAAATTCATTTGTGCTTTTCTAGACCCACTGTCACCTCAGCTGTGGCTGCCAGCCGTACTTTACTCCACCACCTTCCTAACACTGCTACAGCCTTTGGGCTGCATCTCCTTTGGACAAACCTACAGTAAGAATATACAGATCCTGCCATCTTGCCCATGGCAAATGCTGGCCTGAATGCAAATGGTTCCAGATTTTTCACCTGCACTGCCAAACATGAGCAGTTAGAGAGCAAACACGTGGTCTTTTAAGGCAAGATCAGCATGATCACCATCGACAGCTGTGGGCCAACAGATGCAAGCAAACTACATTTGACTTGATGTGTTTCTTCTTAACCAACAGACTTGTACTCAGGAAACCACCTCTCTACCCCACCTGCTTTTCAATATTCTATAATCTGTGTTTTGCTGAAGTTGCTCTTTGGGTGTCCTATTTTCCTTATCCTCTCTAAGTCTAGCTGGATTGCAGAGTTAAGCTTATGAGCATAAAATAAAAGCTAGAGTGCAAATTCATTTTTATGTCAAAGTAAACTACATAAGTCTATTTGTTTTTATTTTGAGCATAGAGGCAGACCCTGAGTAGTAAACTATGTTGAGTCAGTTTTTACCTTAAGAATGCAGTAATTTGTTTTTACATAAAATATTCTGGGTGCTGCCATATTAAGATTGCTTAGTACATGACATTGCTTACTGTCTAGGAGCTCTCCTTTCACTAATCTATATGTAATAGAAGATGACTCTTGAATACATTTTCCTAAAGCTATAATCCGATATGCTATGGGTACACATCACCAGTCATCCGAATGCAGAGTGGCAAGTAATTTATTGCAGCTACAATGCAATGCAAATTTGATCTGGCGTGTGACATGCTGAAGTTCTATTTTCACGGCTGATATTATAGAAATAGTTTACTGCTTGCTGTAGTCAGGGGTTGTACACAGAGAACAGCTAGGATTAGGACATGGAGTTTATAATATTTTATAATGGTCACCGGGAGTTAACACAGGAAAATGCAGGAAATGTATCCACAACACCAAAGACATAGATTATTTAGTCAAGAGTCACAGCAATGTCCCAAGTGGGTCCAGATAAAAACCCAGAACTCAGGACAATGCCTCCCATGAGTCCAACTGGAGGCCCAGAGCCCACAAGAAGGACTCACGACAGTCTCTTTTACAGATCCATGCCGGGAAGACCCAAGGGTCAGCGGTGGAAGCCAGAAAGTCTATCCAGCAGGATGAAGGAGCTGTGCTAGTGGGATGAGGGTTCTATGCTGGAGCCGAGAAGTCACACTCACAACAAAGACCCAGGCTATCCTGAGGCACCTGTCCTCAGTGACACAGAGGCCCCTACATCCTCTGACGACAAGCACAGTCAGGTACATACCAGGAAGCAGCGTGACGAGTTCATCCTGGAGACCAAGCAGCACATGTCTTCCCCTCTGGAGCCAGAAAGCAATGCTCAATGTGAGGACCAAAGCTTCTCCAGGAGAACCAACAGCTCAGACAGCAACTCGGAGGAGTACCCACAATGCCTCCTTAACACCTCAACCCTCCAACACCTCTCTTCTTCTCCACCTATTTATCCTGGCAACCCTCCTCAGGTGGAGCATCTTCGCTCAATGCATGCTGATGTAATTCAGCTGGCGTTAAGTTGACCACCAGTTCTCAATCCATAACACTGCTCAAACAGCATTTTAGACAGTCTAAGTTAAGATACTTGTAGACCTACTGTTAAGCTGTAGTTGTTACAGTTATTCTTTGATTTAATGGAGCAAAGACAAAATTGTTGCTTGTTCCTGAGGCTAATGCCTTTGAGAATAGTAGGATATATGAGTGTTTGTCTTAAAGTTAGTTTCTGCCCAAGGATGACTCAGACATTAAATTATTTCATTGGCTAACACTTTACTTTTGGTCTTCTGATTTCTCTTTTCACTGAATCTCCTCAACTAAACTCCATGAGGGTGTTTTTAAGTGCAGAGGCTCTTAATCAGCTATAGTAAGGTGTGAATTCCAATTTGATGCTTTAGGCCTTGCACTTAACATCTCTAGGCCAGATTTATGGAGTCCTTATAGAGGCTAAGTAAATGCATGTGAAATTCTGAGAGCAATGCCTTGCTCAAACAATGATGTCCTTAATAAATGTGATAGGTGTGCCAGCGGTCTAGTGGGTGAGGCAAACATGAAGGAGAAAGACAAATAAATTAAATCAGACACTTGCCTAAGGCCATATTGTTGCAGGACTGGAGTCAGACCAGTTATTCATGTTTAAGTCTTTTTTGTAATAGATTGCTTTGCTTTCTTAATTAAACACATATGTGTATCTGTAGCAGTTGACTTTTAAATGTGATGTTTGGTCAACAAATGTAGTTAACAGGCATATACATTGCATTAGACATAGAGTGAGGCAATGGAGCTATAATAACAAGGCTCACCTATGACTGCAAAATCGCATCTGAATGCCTATGCAACACCTAAAACACATGAGCATATAGAAGCATGTGTCTGCACTCAGAATACACCCTGTTTCAAATGAAACCCTAGAGTCTACACATACCTTGCTTCAGGTTACACTCTGTGAAAAGTTGGGCATTTACTTAGAAACTCTACTGCCTTGTTTATGGTCCAAAAGGAAATAATAATAATAATAATATCTGATCTGCAGAGCTATAGAGATTAATAAAGACACTGCTCAGAGTCTGGCACTAATAAAATTTATTATATAGCAGCTACCTGCCTTATTATCCTCTTAGCTCTGTGATTACCTGTCCTGGTCTTTCTTTTTCTCTTTTCCCCCCTGAACTATGCTCCACAGAGTAGAAGACCTGTATATAGTGTTGGACACAGAGCGAGGATCCCTGTAAGAAGAGTTCGCAAGTAAATCACTGACTGAAAATAATTTAATAGCGCAGGAAAAGCTAAAAGAGATACCCTTTATGAACACGAATGGAGGAAATCAGTTTTAGTAACAATTTTTCACATGAAATGCTGTGGTCACATGTTGAAAAGGAGTAGCTTGCCAGAGTGAATCGGCTGAGGGAATCACAACTCAATTTGATAGAGCACAAGCATTTTAGGGAGTGCCTTTCTCTACACTGCAGTTTGATATCACCTGTCAGTACACCTGTCTTTGTTTCGAGTTCGGGCCAACTTCCAGTTCCCAAACTTTTGTGACTGTCACAGGCCTGCCCCTGAGATTCCAGAGCAACAGTGTCCTTGTTCCACTTCACATTTGGAGTTCAGAGTTTCAATGAACCACTTGCAGTGCAGATGCCTTCGAAGACTGAGCCCATATGCACAGAGGAGCCTATCATACGCTTATGGACATCAAATGATTAATACTGAGAACCAGTTACCAGTATTGGCACAAATCAACAACTCTATAGACGGTTATTATCATCCATTCATTTAACTGGTAGTATTAAGTATCATTTATGTCCCTGTAGCTATTCTATGATACAAGTTCAAAAGGAACTAAACAAGCCAGATCTCTGTTGTCATGAAGATTAGAGGTCTGCGGTAGATGGATGGAGTTTAGAAAACACACACAAAAATCAGTATGCTGAGCAGAACAGCTCACCTACATGGATGGATGTGGATCATACTTTTGGTGAGGACAAGCCTTATCTACCTTGTTTAACACCATTGTTCCTGTTTTTCTTAAAATTTAAAAACAGTTTTAAAAAGATATACTTTGGATACCATACTTGGTGTAGAACATATAGGGTTTTAATATATTCAGAATTATGCAGCCATCTCTGCTAATTCTGATTTTTTATCATCCCCAAAGCCCCATACTACTTAGTAGCCACTCCTCATTCCTCCACCGCGGCCTGTGAGCTCTAAGCAACTGATAGTTCACTTTTCACGACATACACTGCTTTATCCTGCATGTTTCATATAAATGGATTCACACAATATGTAGGTTTTTGTGATTGACTTCTTTCATTAAGCATAATGTTTTCAAGACTTATCCTTTAACTCACTTCGAGGTTCGTATTGTAGCATGTATCAGTACACCACTCCTTTTTACTGTTCCAGTATTTTATAAAGAATGTAGTGGGTTCTTGATTCATGCATAAGGCATAAATTTCTGAGAAGGAGCCCAGTTAGATCTGGGCATGGCAGGTTCTAGGTTTACTCCCTGTGTAGGGAGATGATCTACGTTCCACAGTTCATGGATTCTGTGTTTGTGTGTCAAAGTCTGAGTCAGAGTATATATGGGTAGATGTAAGAGGCCCAGATTAGGAGGAGAAAAAAAAAAAAACATCTTTTCTTTTCTTTTCTGTATACGTGAGATAACCAAGAAGACAAAGTCTTTGGCACGCATTTCTAAGGTTACCCTAGGCTTGTGTGTCCTCCTAAATGGGGTTTTGAAGGCGGTCAAGATGGCCTTGAGCCACTGTGCGAGATGGAATCCTGGGGTTTGATACAGGATGGACAGGGCATGCGCATGTGATGTGTCACCCAGTTCAGGTGTTTACACGTGGAGCTACAGGTTTGTGACGCAGACCCTGGAACTGAGTGAACTGACAATTCGAAGGTCAGGATGGGGCAATCTGTAGTTATGCGCAGGATTGTGATTTTTTCAAGAATCTAATTTGTGTTAGTAGTCAATCGGGACTTTGTGAAGAATGTACCTGGGTCCATTTCATTTCTTGTGCATGGGAAGCTGGCTTCAGAGATTCGGGTCTGAGAGGCCCAGCGAGGAGTCACCGTGAGTAAATCAGAGGAGGTGTGCAAGCCTGTGAGCCACCGGGACTGCGGGCAAGTAGGAGACAAGTTGGGAGCGCTGGCGCGCGGCGGTGTGCGTGTGCGTGTGCGTGTGCGCGCGCGCGCCAAGTTCGCACTGGTGTTTGTGATGGGCACAGGCGCCGCGTCGGGCCCGGAGGCCGCGTTCGGGTTGGGGGTGCCGCAGGAGGTGCGGCCGGCAGTGAGGGAGCTCGGGGCCCCGCGCTGCCGCGCGCTCGCAGGGGACGCACAGGAACCGGAGCAGCACTGCCGCCTCTGGCGCGAAGGCTCAGTGCCTGCTCCCGCCCCAGTCACTGTGGCTCGGCGCGCGCGGCCGGCGGCTGCCCTTTCCGCCTCCGGGGAGCCAAACTCGCGGGCCTCTGCGGCGCTTGCACCATGGCTTCGGGCCGGAGGGGATGGGACAGTTCCCACGAGGACGATCTGCCCGTGTACCTGGCCAGGCCGGGCACCACCGACCAGGTCCCGCGGCAGAAGTACGGCGGCATGTTCTGCAACGTGGAGGGCGCCTTCGAGAGCAAGACGCTGGATTTCGATGCCCTGAGCGTAGGGCAGCGGGGCGCCAAGACCCCCCGGAGCAGCCAGGGCGGCGTCCGCACCCCCGGGAGTCGGCCCGGAGTAGAGGGGGACTCCCCGCGCAGGGGCCAAGGCCGGGAGGACAGCGGGGAGCCCGCGCCCGCGGCGCCCGCTCCCGCCGGGGTGGAGATCCGGAGCGCCACGGGCAAGGAGGTGCTGCAGAACCTCGGTCCCAAGGACAAGGTAAGGGGGTCTGAGTCTCTTCTGGGGCTCTTCAAGTCCCCTCCCCCAGTCCTGGTCGCCATGGTCGGGGCACAACTTTCTCTAGCTCACTTTACATGAGGATGGGGGATTAGGAGGAGGAAAAAGGCATCCTCCGCTGGGCGAGTGTAGTGCAACCTCCAACCAGGTCCTTGGATCCCCACGTGTCCCCAACTGCAGCATCTTTGTGTCCATCCTGTAAAGTCCCAGGGCCCCCTGCTACCTGTGCTTCCCTGCCACCCCACCCTGGGCCATTCGTTCTGGGTGGGTGTGTCAATCTGGCCAGCCTAGTGATTTCCTGACTTTCTCTCCATCTGAGAGCCAACAACACAATTGTCTCGGCCTTCTCCTGCCCTGGATTAAATCTCAACTCAGGTCACCAGAGCAGAGGGCACATCGATGTTAGGAAAATGGGGTCATCTCCATGGTGCCTCGATAAAAGTACAAGATGGGCGGTTTTCCCACTCACTCTTTAAAATATCAGCTCTGCTCCTGAAACTTTCTGGTGTAGAGCCACTAGACTAAACACCCTAGTCTCTGTGCCTCACTTCTTTCTGTCCTAGCACATTTCACATCTGTGTTTGTAAGAATATGTTTGTGTACACAGCTTGGCAAAAGACCTGGTATCACAGGAATCCATCTGTCTCTGCAAGAATATTATTATATAGCTTTTTAAATAGACCAGAGTATTAAGGGTGCACATTAAACTCACGCGAACTGCAAATTCCCTGCTGTTCTTACTTGTGCTAAGGCCAATTTCTTCCGAATGTGTATTTTAGAGAAACTCATGTCACACTGAACTGATGAAGAGATGGCATTGAAATCCAACTTGCCCTGATTTATGTGCTTAATTAATTTCATAGAAAATTGGAGCCTTAGTTGATGAATTCGGCCTGGGCAAGGCTGTAGGATTCAAACTTGAAACTGATACTTCTGAGTTGGGGAACAATAGTAGTCAGATGCCCTCTCCCTGGTCTAGTAATGGCTACAAATCCATCTGCATATATTACTCTAATACCACCATGAATAATAACCTGAAATGGAATGTCTGTTTCAGAATAGTTACAGTTAATGCTTACCCAGTTTTTTGTTTTTCACTAAAAAGCAATGAGCTAGTAAAAGAAAGGACAGCAGATCTTCCTTCTGTGATTTTCAAAAGTTAAACAAACTTTCAACTACTGACACCACCAGGGAAAGCAAGAACTGGTTAGTGCTATTTAAAGGTGTATTTATGAAATAATTGTCAGTGTCCCTTAGAATCACTCATTTAATTTGTGGTTTTCTCTTCTGTAGTTCCACGAGGTATTCCTCCAGGGTATCCCTCCAGGGCAGGGTGAAGACACCCTGCCCATATGCCCTTTTAGGGAGAACTTCAGATATTTTGGAAAAGCTTTGGAGTATTTCTGAGCTGAACAATAGCCCTATATAGAAAGGCTATTGCTCTCTTCAGATCTGACTGCTCAGTACTAAAATGCTCCCTTCCTGGCTCTAAAGGGTGGGAAAAGTGATGGAAAAGGTCAGTAACAATTGCTGTGAGTCAATGTATTCCCTGTGCTGGAACACCCCTGATGTAAGCCAGATAATATGCTTGGTTTGCAAGATTGAAGAATGGTAACTAGAGAAAGGAAAAAATGTTCCTCCTCTCAACCCAGCAATTCTCCTGTTTCCCTCCCGTTCATAAACCCTATACTTTTGGCTCCTAATTGAAAAATAATAATATGATCTAGCATCAGCAGGACTTCTAGGGCTACACGGTTATTTGTTAGTTCAGGCTTACTGTCAGTTTCATACTGGCCATGTTATTATCTCTAATTTGGTTGGATCACTCTGTTAAAAAAAAATCAACTATAGAGCTTATCTAGTTCTGTAGTTCATGACTATTTCCCTGGGGATACAGGTTGTGTGTTTGTATTTATTCTTGTGACTGTAATGCCTGATACATTGGAGGTTTCCATAAGTGCTGGATTCCTCTAACTGCCTTCATGAAGCCATCTGTTTTGCTACATGGATGCAAATGATCATTTCTCCTTTGCTTAAAATTGCCATTGTTAAGGCATTCGCTACCTCATGAAGCAATTTTAACCAACTTTTCTTTAAAAAATTTAATTCCAAATCTGCCTGTTTCTGCAATTTGCTCTGGTGTCCGCTTGAAAAGTTTGAGTAGTGCCATAGTAACCAACATCCCTAAACCTCAGTAGCTTTAAGCAAACAATAACAGCTTATTTTTTGCTCGTGCAACTTGTCCAATAAGGAACTGTTCATCATTGTCCCTTAGAGAACTAAACTGGTGGAGACTCTAGCTCTGCACATCTGCGGTAGGAAGAGTATGTGGAAAGTTGTATTCTCTTGCTGAAGTGATGAATCTGACGTAAGCTGACGTTTCATTGGCCAAAGCAAATCATGTGTGCCCTTACCCAGTTCAGAGGAAGCAGAGGAGGACAATCTCACCATGATCTTGGAAGACTAGAAATATCTGACAGCTCTAATTTCTCTCCCAGCTCTGGAGGTGGACTACTGGGGGGAAAGCTGGCCCTGAATTATATGATTGTAGACATATAACTTAGCTCCCTAGTGCCTCAGTGCTCTCATCTGCAAAATAAGAAGAACAGTGACTGCTTTGAGCATAACAAGTACTCAGTACTGTTATACTACTGTTATTTACATATTACAGTACATACATATTACTGTTACTTTAGCTGCTGTTTTTACTGTTTGAGGCCAATTTTCATATTTGCACTGAATTTCTCTGCCTTAGTGCATCTATTCTTCATCTCTCTCTCGGATGAGCATTTCACCATCTTGGCTTCCTTTCTAGGCTGTTCTGTATAACGTTCTTCTGAAAATACAGTACCTACCACTTAACTTGGTGCTCAAGGCAGAATATGGTGACAGCAAAGTGCACTAGGTGACTTAGTTTTGTGGATTTAGAGACCACACATGCTTGTGTTGTACAGGATTATACCTAGTAATTAAGTATCTGTGTCTTATAATTGTTTCATAGTAAGCTTGCTGCCATTCAAACTTCCAGAAAATTTCTTTACATAAATTGGATGTAAGCCAGTATGTCTCAATATTATGTTGCTACAAATGAATTTAAAACATCAAAATTTAAGAAAAAAATCTTCATTATAGGATTTGACTTTTCTTCCCTCTTTATTCATCGCTGTTAGCTCATCTTTCTATCGTATCATACTTTTGAATTAATTCTATGATACGGTAGTCCTGTCCTCAGCCTTGAACCACCTACAGAACTGACAGAAGCCACCACTTTTTGAATACTTTCTCTTGCCTATCATGTGTATATACTTCCTCTTCACAGAAAATAATTGTGCACGTAAGAAAACTGGTATCCAGCGACAAAACACTCAGTCCAGCCACACATGGGTAGTAGCTGTGGGGATCCAGAAGATAAATTCTGGTCTTTCTGATTCTGCTACCCATTGCACATGGGGAGATTGTTTCATTATTTCAGTTCAACCAATCTCATGACTGTGCCAGCTCCTGATGGGTTAATATAATTCAGAACAAGGATAGGTCTTTCCACCAAATTTTGAAACCTTATTGCATCTTGCCACCATCCCATCAATCAGGGAAGCTTTGAAAGCAGCTGCTGAACCTGCCAACATAGTTGCTGCAAAGCAAATGTTGCACTGGGGGATTTAGCTCAGCGGGGTAAGTACCTGCCTGGCAAGTGAGAGGTCGTGAATTTGGTCCCCTGGCACCAAAAAACAAAACAGACAGACAGGTCTTGCAAGTTGACCACAAAGCTATCAAAAGATACTTTAAAAAAAGAATAAAAATGTGTTAATAAAATCAAAATAAACTTCATGTTTCTATCCTTAAGTAAATTATTTTATTTAGAACACTGAAGAAGTTAAATAACACAACTGTTTGACAGAATAAAAATATCTCCAAGCTGTACTCTGAATGCCCAATTCCAGGTTTAAGGCATCACTAGGAGTTAATACTGTAGTCCTGGGCCTGCCTGTAAACACCTGCTTAAGTAATATATTTAGATCTTTCTCATGATAGGAATTTGTTCTACCAAAGTGCTCCACAATTGGCTTATATAATGTTTTCTTTATAATTTTTGACACTAAGTACATAGATACAATTCTAGGTAAAAAGTATTTTCATTATTTCACCTGATGCTTTTCCAAATGTATGCAGTTTTCCTAGCAGCAAAAGATTTACTAACAGTAGAATTCTGATATACAGTTTGCCAGGAAATGCAAAAGTGATGTTTGGTTTGCCAAAAGTGGTCCTGCAAAAACATTGTCATCTAGTGATGGCAACATATTGCTCATTTCTAGTTCCCTGCTGCTCATGTGGTCCACTTTTGTTTCCTTTGTGAAGTCAATAGGGCTCTAACTATATACATATAGACAGATTTGAAACAAAAAGTTGTGACTCTTACCATTTTATCATTTGTTATTGTATTGTATTTTTTTTTGTCCTGGAATAAAAGTTTTCAAGATGACTCTGAGAAATTGCCTGAACAATGGAAAACTGCTGGAAATAGTATTGTGGGTTTATAAAGGCCTTCATAGCCATCAGAATCCAAGCCCTGCAGTGTAAATGAGTTTTACAAGGCTGCTCTGACAAAGGAAAGTTTGTATATTAATTGATGAAAACAAATTTTTTTTTTTTTTTGCTTACCTGTCTCACAAGCCATAGTTGAGTACGGGAGTAGATTTCTTTACCCAAACTTGGAAGTGTTTGAATCCTTTCAAAACTTTGGTTTAGTTTGACAGTAAGCATTTGAGGAACATAAAAAAAAACGAGCCTTCTAAATAATGCTGCGATTGGCAGAGTTCCCTCAGAGTAATGGTCCCTGGAGACAGGGTTTTGCTGACGGCTCTTGTAATGTCTAAGACTGCCAGAGTACTGTCTGTGATGATTTCTCTTGGTGACTCCTACAACTGATTCTCTTCACGATTAATTTGCTCTGGGCATTATCTTTGTAGTAATGTTTCTGTAGA